CTTTATATATTCGCCAACAGGGAAGATACAACTTTGTCGGTAACATCAACTGTCCCTGGCATCTGAGCTGCTTCGCGACCCAAGCATAGCCGCCAAAAATAAATGTAACCGGTTTTCATGTCCGCTAGTCCCCAAGATTTCAGGCACCACTTGGGTGGTTTTGCTGGCATGTACATCAATAAAGTGACCCTGCCTTTGAAATGAATCATACTTTCACCCACTGAAAGCTCTTTTCCGGAATAAAAGTAAGTGGCATAAGTTCATCAAAAAAATGGACAGATCTTGAATGCCCTATCACGTTCAGGGCGGTACCTCAGATTGGGATTTGAATTCTCAGAAAGATGAAAAAAAATGACAAAATCCTCAAAAACCGATCTCGTGCCATGATGTTTCTGAAACCTTACATTTGGATAAATTCATCCCTTGACTAGTAGAGATTTTCCAAGCCTTGCTTAGATGTGGTACAAGGCCGAAAATATAGGGCATCCAGTGAGGATCGAACTCACTTTTCAGTAGCTTGCTAACCATTACACCACGCCGAGGTGCCCCTCATCCCTTGACTAGTATAACTCAAATGACTCCCACTTTGTGAGTCCAACAAGAAGTAAAATAGTTAAGAAAGCCTTCGTCTCGCCGAAAGTGACTTCGTTTCACGTGTTTACATATGCGTAGTCACCTGCATTTGTTCATTTCGTTTTTTTCATTTGACGAGCATATTTGTTTCGTTGACAAATAGTGTCATTGTTTCATCGTTTATGAATAAATGAAATAATTCACCTTCAGAAAGGCTATCAGGTAAATGATGGGGCTAGTAGCTCCCAAATAATTAGGCAGTCATGAATGGTAATAACCGCTCGACATTTCGTGACCATCATAGTTTTCCTCCCCGTTACTAGAGTAGGTATCTTATCCACGTCCGACAACTTCACCATCCGCCTGAGTAAATCCTTCAAAATCATCATCGCTGTCTGACTTGAATAAAAACTCCTGAATAAGGGCTTCGTTCAATGTTGCAGTGGTCATTTTTGTTAGCAAATTTCGCGACGAAATTAATACGCGTTTATTCGATGTTACTTACGTGTACACTAAAGAAAATTTCAAAATGGCGTTGGGAAAAAGGCTACAAAGGGAGAGAATTCTTGGGCGACTATTTTCGACTCCGGCGCCGCAAAGGATATGTATTTTACGAAATTGTGCATTTGGTAGGATGTGCGGGTGGTGTAATGGATAGCGGCTCAGAATAAGTAAATCGGAGATTCGTGTTCAAATTTCAATCAGGTTGGTTACATTCACTTACGCAAAAATAGACATAGGAAACTTAAGAATACATCTACAGCAAACTTCAGCTGTGAATTAAATCACAAGATTTGTTTCTGGAAAAATCATTGTTATTCATTCGCAAAAAAAAAAAATATCAGAATTATTCTCACAATCTTAAGTATACTTCGGTTTTATTGTATAATATTTCTGCGTCTTACACGGCTTTCCTCCATGAGTCGATTTCCTATATATATATATATATATATATATAGTTCTGCAGAAGTGGATATATAAAAGATAATTTTGAAATATATTTGTCATTTAACATCATATTATAGAAAATAGTGTATACCATGTTATTCTTTAAAAATTTCGTACAAGTTGTCCAATGTGTCGTCGTTTGACTTTGATGGGGTCATCATACAACATTATATTTTTTTTCTGGAAAACGCATCAAAATGACGTAAAGGGTCCCATTTGATGAGGGTGAAACATTGACGAGTCACTTCCCTATACCGTATTCTAGGTCGGTTATTAAAAAATGACAAACAGAACAGTTCAGAAGTTGTAAAAAGAATGAACGAAATAGAAAACAAGAAGCTGTACTCTTTGAAACGGGGGAGGTAAATATGTAAAAAAAATAAAATAATAAAAGCAGAAGGTTGACATTTGGTGCAAGACGTGCAAGAAAGACGAAAAGGAAAAGTAGGCAATGAGATGATGGAGGAGGAGGAGGTGAAGATGTAATAGAAAATTAGGGGGATAAGAAGGATACTGGGAAGAAGAGAGAAGACGAAGAAATCGACGAGAGGGCGAATGAGAGAAAAAGTAAAAAAAAAACGTCGAGGCACGTTTGCAAGAAACAAGTAAATGAAGGACTAAAGATTAAAGGAAACAAATAGATGACAAAATAAAAGAAAAGAAAAAAGAAAAAGAGGAAAGTCAAAAGTAACAATGAAGAAGTGGGGAAGGTCTAGAATTAGGAACAAAATAATTAGATGAATGGAAAATGAGGAAAGGATGATAAAAAAAGAGTTTATTTAATTTTTGTTTAAAACCATATCAAAACCTTACGTGTCATTTAAAGCCAAAATTGTATTTTCTCTCGAGCTTTGAAGTAATAAAATATGATGTTATTCTGCTTTCATAACTAAATATATGGTAGATAGTACTCAGCTTTTGTGCATAATGCTTATATTTAGTGTATTGAGGCAGCAGATCATTATTTAAACATATATTATTAAATATAACAGACAATAAATGTCTGCTATGTCTGATCATGAGACGTCAAAGATGATATTTTGTTATTTTGACATAGATATTTGCTATGCGACGATAACGTATGTTATATTTAATAATATATGTTTAAATATATGTTTGTGTAGACATAATTACTAGAGGCGGTGATATGTGGGTTTTATGTTGTAACATTGTTGAACATATATTTTTGAATACAGTTTGATTTCTTTAAGTCATTTTAGGTTATTATATGAATTAATTTAATGAAAGAATGCTTTCATGTTGTTTGATTTAGTTTAGCAGCATATCAACCTCCATGGCTTATTTAATATCGAAATTTAAATATTTTGAACACAATTTTATAGCTTCATCTAAATATATTTTGAATGTATGCCTCTAACTTCAGATGACGTGGTTTGCTGATCATTTTGCTTTAAAATTGTATTGTTGGTAATTTTAGTCTAAATATGTATTGTTGGTATTTTTACTATAAAAATGTATTTTTTATACTTTCATAGTAAATTTTGTTTTGGGGTTTACTAATTGCCAGTGGCTGAGACTCTTTTGGGTGCTATCACCTCAGATCAAGGTAGACCTCGGAACAACAGCAATTGAGAGGTGATTCCACGCGCCTAAAAACCTCCAATTTCTCGATCAGAAGCGTTGCTGCCGGATATAGTTTAGCATCTTACCCAGAACACTATTCTGATGAAGCTAATATAAAATTGCGAAAAGTTTCAAATTTATAATTTTTTTTTTTTTTTTTTTTTTTTTTTGTATTTGTATTTGTTACTTCCAGTGACTGGAGTATGAAAAAGTAGGAAAATATGGACTCTCATAAAGATCTGAAGGAGAACATGTCCATTCTTTCAAAAGAGTAATTAAACGCTGCGGGGCTATGACACTGTCTGTGACCGTGCGGTTTAAATCGCGATCTGATATGGTTTCTCCCACAAGGATTGGGCCCCGGTGGTGAACCCATTTTCTTTATGAATTCTTTCGAATTGGAAAGCCGGTAAACTTGATTCAAACTGTATAAAGACCAGGGTTTCTATTTAAGTAGGTATCCACAAAATAGCTTTTGTACTACTAGTAATTATATTAGACGTAACAGAGTTTATAACGTGACTTAGTTGTAGTAAAAGTATTTCGTCGCAATTTTCTAATATAGGTGTATGTACTATTATCTAATTATGTAAAAATGTCTCTTCGTGACGTACGCGATCATAGCACATATATTCCTAATTTTCTTTTATTATACGTGAATTGCCAAACTTTCTTAGGACAGAGAGTAGCATGGTTTAGCGTAGCGTTCTCCACTTTGGAATTCAATTTACCTTGTATTAAACTGGTGGTCACCCGAAGCTAGAGAACCAGAGTCTACCCTGCTATTTAACCCAGCGCCGGTAAGAAAAGGAAATTTCCACTAAAAGTGCAAGCTACAGACTATGCGTCATTTTGAACTTGGTTCACCGTATCCGCTGTTGCCACCGATAGCTTTTGCTCTACCCATATTTTTTTCTTTTATTATATAATAAATTAAAAAGGATTAAACCATTCTATAATGGATGAGCAGTATGGCATGAAGATTTGGAGTATTTTTAGAAATAATGCATGGATGGCCAAAGATGCATTCCAAAAGCTAAGCAAATTATTAAGAGACAGCAAAATTTCATCAGAAACAAAGAAAAGACTACTGAACTGTTACGTGGTAGTAAATGCTGGACAATCTTCTCAAAGGTGAGGATGACACTCGAAGCAACAGAAATGTCATTCTACAGAAAGATACTGAGGATACCATGAGGCCAAACATGTGAGCAAAAAGATTTTAAAGAGAATGGAAAGAAAAAGGAAACTTATACATCGACTAAATGCTTACGTATGTACGCAACGGTACATGGATGCGTATATATACCCATTCCCACACATATGTTTATGTTTGTGCGAGCTTCAGTGAGTGAGCGTGCGTGTGAGTGTGTCTGCGTACGTCAATGAGTGTACGTGCGTGTATATATGTTTGCGTAAGTATGAATGGCGTTCCGACAACAATTTTTGTTCCCACTTCCATAAAAACACCGATACGCCACCGTATATAAATCGGAAATTTAGAAAAATTAATCAGTTTGTATGACGATCGCAAACAACGTGAAACCCAGGGTGACAAACTCACAACATGGGGGGGCTTATAGTTGCGAAATTGTGGACAAATTCCATTTCGCTCCGCCCTACCTTCTAATTGACCAAGAAAAATGTTTTCTTTTTTCGTATATGCAAATCCTGTAATACTGACAAGATATTTAAAGCCAGGAAAAAATGTTAGATTTTAAGAATGTTTTTTCTTTGAAATAATAATGGTCTTAGATCGGGGTGAAAATACTTTGGAGTCATACCTTTCCCAAAGTTATTTTGCACTTAACTGAATATAACGAACCCACCGACAATAGGCTCTCCGATTAACAATTCCAAGCCATTATCAATTACACCACCCACACATCCAGGCATACAGACCCTCATGTTCCCAAGTGGTCATCCATCTAAGTACTGACTAAGCTTGAAGTTGCTTAACTTTGGAGATCGTAGGGGAACTTGTGTCACAACGTAATGTGGCCATAAGCGAATAATTTTATGAATGACCGGAATTCATTTTTTTTTTTTTTTTTGCTTTATTAAGTTATTTGTAAAAGAGAATGAATGAAAACACTATTTGATCTCAAATATTTGACCATTATTTATGATCAAACCTGCTTTCCCGTGTACTTAAAGAAGAAAAAGTCATTGTATATAAGTGTTGTAACGGAATGTCCGACACTCCCTATCGCCTATTTGAATTGACTATATCAATAGCTATATATAGTGAGCACAGGATATAGCTGAGAACGAGTTTCAGTTAGTTGGAGATTCGTATCCAGCTGTGCTGGTCGAACTATCTGCCTTCGGGCAGAGAGGAGCCCAGACAAGTCCATACCCTTCGAGCTCGGTTTTGGCCCAAATTAAAAAAAAACGGCCTTGTGCCACATCCTGCCTCGCGGGGAGGTAAGTTAAATATCCTTGCTTCGGGAATTTCTAGCCTGTCACCCGATTCCCTTCTTTCGGTTGTGTATTCTCTTTTACAATAAACCTCTCTTCTTTCATTTACGCGCGTATTGCTGTTCCTTCCAGTCGAGTACCACCTTTGTTTGTAGCCTCTTTAAAGATACAACAATGAGCTTTAATCAAACTTTTATAAGAGCTGAAGGATAGTCATACGTACATACGCACAAACAGAGACTAAGATAAGTTATTCTTATCTGCAAAAATATCATGGCTTAGAGGATTCCTGATTTATCCTTTCCAAATGGCAAACATTATTTCTTTATGTGGATTAATCCATAAAATCCATATTTTTTTAATATCTCCAGTTTTCTAAAATACCACGTCTCTTCAGGATGAAGACGAACATGGTTCTCTGGAGTCCTTTTTTATTATCTTGAACTGTCATGATTTCTTGATAAAATTAGTGGAATGGTTTCCTGTTGCCCCCCCCCCCCAGTTTTGAATTCAGAATAATCTTTCTATTAGACTGCCAACAATGGTTAGAATCTCAGACTACTTTTCTTTTTAATCAGTAGCTGGTTGCGGTACGAGATGAACTGTTACTGCGAAAACGAATGTAACAGATTAGTCTCCCTAATTCCAGTTCTATAACTATAACAATGAGCACGCATCCTCGGTTTAGATACGTTTTGGAAAAATGCTCCCTCACACGAGTAGAAATAATTTTGAAGCCTTCATGTCCTTGGACTTGATTTTTTTTTATTTTTAAATCCAACCGAATTTTTGAATGTTTTAGAGAAAACAGAAAAAGTAAGACACTTATACTTAACATCGAGAAGAGATAATTGAAATTTCTAGGACATATACTGAGGAAAGAAGGCTTGGAAAATTTGATATGCACAGCACAGATTAAAGGTAAGAAAGATAAAGCTAAAAAAACGCATGATCCACTGAGCGAGCTTGAGTAAGCGGATGATGGAACAAGACTTAGGAGAGATAGGAAAAAGATAAAATTTATTAAGCTCTGTAAGGGACAGGAAATTGTGCAGATCCATAATCGCCAACGTCCTGAAGGGACACGGCGCGTAGAAGAAGCAGAAGATGATTACAAACATTATTCAATATTTTTGGAAATTTGGTATGTAACCTTTCTTCAGGAGATAGACAGAGAAGACCCTCCTCATGTTTTTTCATCGATAAATTGCCATGACATCTTCAAAAAGACAAGGAAATGTTTTACCATGAACTCTTTCAGAGTTTTGAATTAAGTGCTGTCCTTCTAAGATAGCTACCACATAAACCCAGTTTATACTGTTATTTAACCCATAGCTAGGGCGAGGTAGAATAAATGAATGTGTGCCTTCATAAGGGGCACTGGGGCAAAAGTTAACGGAACAGATTAGAAAGTAACTTGAACTGATCTCAGTAATTCCACTTTCCACTCCGATAAACGTTTCGCTGCTTGCACATCTTTTTCACAATAGACCGAATCTAAACGTATCAACTTTCGTTTACAGAATAAAGTGTTGTTTTTACAGTATTATTAGCAAGGAAATAATATTAGGGGTTTATCCTGAGGCTCGCTTTGCGTGACAGTGTTGCTTTAAATAATCCCGAATGTGAACGGTGTGCATAATGTACCTTAGCTTCCAGCAAAATTGTTTTCTTACGCACTTATATATATATTCACATGTAGGGCTTGTTCGATATTACTCACAGCTATTGACTTATTGACCAGAATGCTCTCAAAACTGGCTTGGTCAGGTCACTCGCCTTCTTTTACTTATCAGCTCAAATCAGCATTTCTCTTTGTTTGTAATAACTAAGGAATTATGTGTGGTAAATATAAGAAAACACCTTTCTTTTTTCTCTCTTGTAAATACGAATTTAGAGATATGGTGCTTTTCATTAACATTTAATTTCTGCGGTAATGACACCGGTATTTAAATAACTGGAATGTGTTTAAACAGTGGACGAAAATTATGACACCGAAATCCGAAGGCGCATTGGAATAGCGAAAGAAGCCTTCCGAAAGCTGTGAAACAAGAAAATGACACTAGAAACAAAGTCAATAGCAGTGAATGCCGTACAATCTCCTCACAGATGAATAGAAGAATTGAGGCAACAAAGATTTGGTTCGATATTAAGGGGTTGAAAATACCATGAAATGATCATGCGAGTAACGAGGAATATTGAATGAAAATAGAAACGATTATGCGTAGAATCGGAAAGATTAGGTTGAAATTTTTAGGACACATAAAGAAAGCGTTCTTGAAGACTATAAGGAATGCTAGACGGAAACGGAAACTGCAAATAAAAAGCTTACATGGAAGAAGAGAGATTTAGATTGATGTTGAGAAGACAACTTACTGAAAGCTACAAAGGACAGGAAGTTATTGAAATTTATGATCGCCCACTACCGGAAGGAATATTGTGCATAGAAATCATTCACTTTTCATTTGTTCTTTTCGAAAATATCCAAACTGATACGTTATTTTTTTTTTTTTTTCAATTTTTCCATTTTTCAAATTTCGTTTGACAAACGTAAAGTTTATCCCAGCTTATTTCTTTTATTCTGATTCGTTTATATCAACTTCAGGATGTTGGTGATCATGATTCTCCACAGCCTCCTGTCCCTTGTTGCTGTAAGCAACGTGTATCACCTTAGCATCCCTATCGGCCCCCGCTTTGCCATCCATTCACACTAACTCGTTTCACTACGTTACTTGATATTTCCTTCTCCTCCATTTACTTTCATTGTATTCTATGAAATCTAACTTCTCCAAACAGTTTTTTTTTTCATTTTTATGTGTCACCGCTCCCAAATATAAAATCTTTCTATTTCTGATTGTGGTATAAGTGTCATTTTCGTTCAAATTTTTCTTAAAACTTTTTAGTTGTTCGCAACCAGCGTTCATCGTATTATCAGCCTCCATTTGTATAAGCAGAATTATTGTTGCTTTGAATTTCTTCTTCATCTGCGAGGAAATAATAAGCAGTTCAGAACTTTTTTTCTTTGGTTTTATATACACTTCCATATGTCTGCTTCGTTTCTGAAGGCCAATATTCGCTTTTCTTGTATGCCTTTGGATTTCTGCGTCACATTTTTAGACATGATATTTTAAACCAGATGGGTCTGTAGTTAACGATATAAAATAGTTTATTATGTTTATTATTTATCATTGTCATTTCCTAAGCTTGGTTCGGAGAATATCAAACTAACTTTTCAATTTTAATGGTCATGCAGACTATTTCATTAACTTGTTTAGGCGCCTATTCACTTGTGATAGGTCCGTACCTGGGTATGCCGATAAACAACATCCGGTAGCAAGGCCTCTGATCGGGAGATTTTGAGGAGTGTGAATCCACCTAGTAATTGCTGCTGTTCCCTGGCCAATCCTGACTTTGCGTGGTAGTACCATTTAGGGTCCCAGCTATGGATAAATAGTTAACTCGCCAAACTGTGTCAAAACACTATGAAAATATCAAAATTTATACAGTAAATATATCAGCAATACATTTTCATAATAATTAATACCAGCAATATTTTGTTATAAAAAAAAAATATTACCAGCAATATATTATTGTGAAAAATATATATTTTACTAACAATAAACTTTTGTAAAAGAAATTACTAATACTCTCAAGAAAATTAAATTTCGGCATTAAATGACCCATAAAGTGTTGATGTACCGTTAAACAAACAAAACATATTTGTGATAGGTACTTTAACTTTGAATTTGATACTGACCCAACAAGTGAAAAAGCAAAAAAACTTACTCTTCTCACTATGAGGAATTTTAGCATACGATATAAAAACTCATGTTCTTAAATACCCTCCTCATATCGGGACTTGTAATGCATGGAGACAAACTCATTCAGAAATATCTAAATGTCAGCTTTATACAACACTTTCTCAGATCGGTGGTTTAATGTCAATTCGTGCATTAACCCGTAGGTCTTATCGAGGATTATACTCCGTCGAATTTCATGGACTAGTGCTACAGGTTCACACACGGAGAACTGAACAAAGTAAGAGAAACAACATCACTTGAGGACTTTCGAAAACAGCCAACAACTAAGTTAGATAGCACATGTAACTCGATGAAAAAATAATGGCATAATGTGTTGGTGCTTCACACCACTTCAAAGAAAATATTTGGAAGGATGTCCGCATCTATACTGGAAAAAACGATAACATTTATTTGAGTTGAGAAACCTATTTTACTTTGAAATTGTTTTAATAGAAAGATTTTGTAAACTTCAGCCAAAAGTAGTGCTAGCTTCTATGACAAGGAATACCGAATGTCCTCTAATACGCAAAAATGTTAACAGTATAATTACCAATTCCTAAGATCGATGATGAAAAAAGTATTTGAGCCTGCTTTAAACATTGTCTACTTGCGCTAGAAAATCGCAAACTCAGAACTATACGAAATAACCGAAAACACATCACTTGAAGACTACAAATAGCAGCACCAACTAAAATGGGTAACATATATATCTTGAAGAGAAAATAATGGCATAAACAAGATGTTAGCATTCCACGCCACATCAGATAAAATGTTTGGAAGGAA